CTTGGATTTTGATTCCAAGTGTGATGGGAAATCTTGGGAGTGTTCTGAACAGAGGAGTGAGAGACCTTGGATTTTACAAAGGTGCTCTTTGACGGCTGTGTTGGAACTGAAGGTAGGGAAGGGGCAGGGCAGATGCAGGGACACCAGCTGGGAACCCTCTGGACTGCAATCATCCAGGCAAAGGATCATGGCGGCCTGGACTAGCCCACAGCAGAGGGGGTAGTGAGAAGGGGTTGGTGCCTGGATATTCTTGAAGTGACAGCTGACAGGATTTGCTAGTGGACAGGATGTGGGGTGTAAGGAAAAGAGAAGGGGTAAGGCAGGCCCCTGGGCCTTTGTCCTGAGCCAGGTGATGCACGAGGCCCACCCGGGGCAGCCACTGGCACCCACTCTGGACAGCGGCGACTCCTGCCATTCTCACGGGTGCTGGTGTCACTCAGCCCCCACTGGACGCAGCCCTGATCGGGCCCTCGTTGTCTCTCCTGGACTTTCACCATCTTCCACCTCTACTGTCCCTCCCACTCCAACACCCCATGGTGCTGCCAGACTCACCGTTGTAGACCCAGGTCAGGGCGTGTCCCCCCTTCTTAAAAGGCTGACCTTCCTGAGAAGACAAACCCCCTCATCTCCATGGAGTTATCCTTCAAAACACATCTGAGTCCCTGCTCTGTGCAGACATTGTGCAGAGAACATGCTGCACCATCTGCTGTCTCTCTAGTCCACGCCCCACAGCTTCCTCCAAGCCCAGGACTCTCGGGGTCTGAGGTTCCTGGGATTAGTCCCACACAGTGACACCTCTGCCACTCTGTTCATGCCGTTCCCACTGACTGGAACACTGTTCACTCCCCAGAGCCCAAGGGATGGCACGCCTCCACGTGGCCTGCCCTGTGTCCTCCTTCCAGAAGGAGTTGCTCCTCTTGCTGGCTTCCTGCAGCCCTTTCTGAAATGCACAGCCTTTTAAAGAGAACAGTGGTGCACCCACATCCTTTGACCCTATTGTCAGCCATATTGCATTAGGATTTGGGCCCTTGTCCTGCTGAGTCAGATCACTTGAGAGAAGTTCTCCGGGGCAGCCAGAACGAGCTTGTCATTCACTGACCCTTGGAGAGAAGATGTAGGTCCTAGAATTCACAGAGTCTCAAAGCCTGTGGGTTGTCCAGTTTCACCTGCCATCTGGGTAGGGAATATGGCAGATGGAGCTGGTGTCCGTGTGAGGGATCTGTAACAGCTCCGCTAATGAACAATATCCAGTGTTTGTCCAGCCCTTTCCATGTACCAGGTACTGTGCTGAGTATTTTACGTGTGTTCAGTCATTTAAACCCCACATGAACCCATCTCATAGATGAGGAAACTGAGGCACAAACAGGTGTAATTACTTTCCAAGGTTACCAGTTAGTAAGTGGCAGAGTCAGATTTCAAGTCTGGATAGTCTGGCTCCAAAACCCATGCTCTTAACAACTTCCATGACCAAATATGAAACGTAACTACCCAGAACCAGCTTCCCAGATGGTGACCTGTGGGTCGGGCTCTGGGGAATCTGTGGCATGTAAACGTTCTTCACCAAAGGTAAAACCTAAAATTAAGACATTTATCAACATGACGAGAGCCCATCCCTGATTCCTTTTCTCCGGCTCTCCCTCTCTGATAGGGATTCAAGTCTTGGTTTAAGCCCATTGAGTGATGAGGAGCTCACTACCTCCTGGAAGCAAACCACTCAAGAATAGCTCATGTTTAAATGTAGATACACAGATACAGTCAGTTGTCATCAATCGTGATTCTGTATTTGTGAATTCACCTACTCACTGAAATGTATTTGTTACCCAAATCAATACTCGGGGCACTTTGTGGTCATTCAAGGATGTGCACAGAGGGACGGAAAGTTTGAGTCACACGGTGACACATGCGTTCCCATCTGAGATCAAAGACGACAACTCTCTGTCTTCTTGTTTCATCTTTCATGCTATTAACAAGTATCCTTTTCATGGTCTATTTAGTGCCACATTTTTCACATTTTTATGTTTTCTGTTGGGGGTTTCTCTGTGTAAAATGGCCCCCAGCACAGTGCTGAAGTGCTGTCTAGTGTTCTTCAGCACAAGAAGGCTGTGATGTGCCCCACATTTGAGAGATACGTGTGTTAGATGAGCTTTGTCCAGGCGTGGGTTACAGTGCTGTTGGCTGTGAGTTCAGGGTTAATGCATCAACCGTGCAGCACATCCAGAAAAGGAGGAGGAAATTTGCCCTGAGGCCCCTCTGGAAATGCTGAGGTAACATCTGTAGCTGTGATGAGGCTGTGGAAAAGTGGTTACATTTGTAGTTTGGGAGGATGATGATGATAAAAATCACAGTGGATGGCACTGTCGTGATGCTAGAGGCCAAGGAATTTACAGTCATGTTACCAGAGGCTGGAGAGTATGAGCCCTTCTCGGCTGCTGTTTTCCTATAAATAAGAACTAGAGATATAATTATTTGTAAAAAAATATATGTTACATAAGATGTCTTTCAACACACATAAAACGATGTTGTCAAAAATGTGACCAGAGTATCCCAGGAACCCAACCCTGTATTTCCTCTGGGAGCTGTGGCTGTTTCTCTAATTCAGAGTCGCAGTGACTTTATAGAACTAAATTACCAAAATAATGAGAATTGACTTTACACAGAGAGATACATATAGACATACATACACTTCACTTTGAAATATATATAAACATGTGTGTGTATATATCTCAATACTTAAGTATAAACTTATAAATATATGTACATATATATGTAATATATATATTACAATATATATATATTCTGATTTGTCAGAGACTTGCCCACATCACCTGACCACTGCCAGCCCTGCGTGAAGTTCTGTCCTCTGGGGTCACAGAGACTGAGTCTTCTTTGTTGGGACTCTGAGTTCTGTGGTTACTCCCATGGGCATGCAGGTCTATGGTGCTGGCCTCTCGCTCAGACAGGTAGATAGTGGGAGGTGGGTGTTCCTTCAAGAGGGTAAGGACAGACACTATGCCCCCTCTTCCCCAGAACCATCCTTACCTGCCCACTGTTGTTGATGGAGTGCTGCTGCCAAAGATGCCTGAAGAGATTCTGACTGAAAAGACATTCAACACTGTTCCCTACATCATCGGAATCAACAAGCAAGAGTTTGGCTGGCTTCTACCAATGGTAAGAATGTGTTGGTCTTTTAGACTCACCTCCCCTGCCCATCACATCACCCTTCCCATCTCCGATCACCGGAGATCCTCCTTCTCCAGACCCCCTCAGGGTCCAGAGCAACTGTCCCCTTCATGCAAGTTGACATTTCCATGGAAACCTTCTCTGGGATGGCCCAACTATCACCTGGGAGTGTGGCCCTGGGGATCCCTCTCCCCAAACACTCTCTGATTGTTCTCCATCCGAGAATCCTGAAAATGCGACACTGGGACAGCCCGTAGAGACAATCACTGGGCAGATGAGAAAACCAAGGCATGGAAAGGTGAAGGAGCTCAGGAGTTAAGGAGAGTGAGGCCTGGGGCCCTGCAGCCTCTCCCCTTGGGCTTGGTGCTTTCATAGTTTCTCCATAAATCCCACACATGCTCCTAGTCATCTAAGTGGAAAGATTCAGAGGAGCTTGCTTCCTCTGGAGTTAACATTGACTGCTAAAAGCTAGGAAGGGCTTTCCCTTCTGACAAAGATAAACAAAGCCGACACTAGTTGAAGTGGTGAGGACAGGTTTTATTCAGTTAACCACTGCAGTAGGGGAAAGAGTCCAGCGTGAACTGAACTCCAGTCCCAGAAACAAAAGGCTGGAGCCTATTTAAAGGCTGGATGTGCTCAGGGAAAGGCTGTGGGCTGGGAGGGGGGTTTGTCCATGTGACTGGTCCACCTGGATTAGTGAATTGGCTCCTCTTCAGAGGAGAAACAGACTCTCCTGTCTTTCTAACAGGAGACAGTGGTATAAGTTGGAGCAAGATGTCCACTGAAGTTAGGCCTTTCTCCTCCCACAGGAACTGAAAGAGAGAGAGTCATCTCCTGAAAGTCTGCATTTCAAAGGATGGCTCTCAGGTCCTTGAGGAAATAATTTCGGGTGGTTTATTTACATCTTAAAGGTCAGAGATAAGATTTATAATTGCAAACTATCTAAAGTAACTGCTCTAAAAGGGGTTCAGTGATCCATCAACCTATCACCAGGTTTTGGCTGAACAAACAGTGAATTCTCCTGGCAGCAGGGAGCTTTCCCAGGCAGGCAGTTTAAGGGAAGCTGGGGTCATCCTAGGGACAGAGCCTTAAGCTGCTAGAAGCCCTGTCAGAGTTGGGTCAAGTCCCTTAGTACATGTTTGGATGGAGCTGTCATGTGCAGAGTTCTGCAGTTCTCACTTCAGAACAATCTCAGAGGTTATACTGAAGGACCAAAGCCATAGGGCCAGATTTGGGGCTTCCTCAGTCAGCTGAGACTGGGAGGGTATTTGTGAGTCTATGTCCTCTGTCCAGAGCCCTCTACTTCAACTCTAGCCTGGCTTAAACCCTCCTTCTCTGTCTCGATGACCATTGTGGGGACTCTAGCCTGACATACATATATACACATACGTACTGCAAAGGACTGAGACAGCTTCTCTTAACACTTAGTTCATCCTTTTTGCACTCTTTGAGTTTCTGGATATAATAAATCCTTTTGATGCACTGATATTGCCCAGATTATCCAAGACCCATGCCCGTCAACACATGACAAGGTGACCTTCAGACGCCATTGCTTTGGTCGGTTGGTCAGTTTGATTCTTTCTGCTAATTCCCAATGATTCACAATTGATTAAGTTATCGTTTTAACAGATGATGGGCTACCCCCTCTCTGAAGGCAAGCTGGACCAGAAGACGGCCACGTCACTCTTGTGGAAGTCCTACGCCATGGCTGTAAGAATCTATGGAATCACAGCAACTGGCTGAGACCCAAGGAGGGGAGGGGCTTGCCCCAAATCACAGACAATTAAATGGCAGAAGGAAGACTGTTGTTGGCGGGTTGTACCCCCATTTTTCTGCCTTTCTCACTCACCACCTAGGATGGGGGAGGGTGGATTGCATGGGAATCAGGTGGTTCACCATTAACACAAGAAGACAAGCTGTGTCACTCACCAGAGGGTGGGGATCACTTTCACTCTTGATCCATTTCAGGAAATCCCTGAGGAACTGACTCCAGTGGCCACTGAGAATTATTAGGAGGGACCAATGACCCTGTCAAAAAGAAAGACCTGTTCCTGGATTTGATGGGAGATGTGATGTTTGGTGTCCCGTCTGTGACTGTGGCCCGCTTCCACAGAGGTATGAGTCCCAGATGTTGGACAACAAAGAGACACTGACCCCACTAGCTTCCCTGTTAGTCCTGTCCAACCCTCAGCATAGACAGATATGTGGAAACTGCCAAGGGCAAGGCCTCTGAGGTCATTCCATATGGCCTGGAGTGGGACACTATCCTATTATTTGCTTTCACTAGAAGCAGACTCTGAGAAAAGGATCTGAAAGCAAGTAGTTTATTTGGTAAACAATCCCAGAAAACACCAGTAGAGGAGTGGAGTAGTGACAAGGGAAGGAGAAGGAAGCCAATCCATGCTGCACTGTCAAGCAAGTATCCACAGTGGACACTGGAGCTGGGGAACTCTGGGAAACCAGCAGAAGACAGTCTCATGGTTATCCCAAGTGAGCAGCGTGGGAGCTGGTGTATTTATCCTCCAACTCCCATGAGTGATTGGTTGAAGGCTGTTCCCAAGGTTAACTGGTTCCCAGGTCAATTTCCTGGTGCTTTGACCTGCTGTATACATGAGCAGAGTGGTCTCTGGTTGCCAAAGACCTAGGCAAATAGTTATCAATGCCAGAGATGGAATCAGGCTGGCATGTCCAGAAGTAGAGCATATGGTGAGGCACTGACAGCATCTGCTACAGGGACTCCTCACCTGACGTTATGATTACAAGGCAAATCTTGGAGGATGTGTCTTGGAAGGTGTTCAAAGTCAGAGCTAACTGTAAACTAGTCTGTTAACCAGTGGATCTGGGGGTACAGTGAAGCCAAGCATAGGATCCGGAGGATTGTAGTGGACCGAGAAAGCCAAGAGGAGTGAGCAGTGGGAGGGGGAAGACAGGTGTCAATGTCTCCAGCTGGCTTTTGTCCATCCCAATGTATGCTGGGTCTACCACAGGACCTTCCACTTTGACCCAAGGGATTTGAGGTCAGGGGTGGATGAGCTCACCTAGAGAGGAGGTGTTGCTTCTGGGTGCCTTTTTGAGGTCGTCACAGGACCCATCCTTTTCTGGGAGCCCTCCTTCACCTAATCTCCAAGCCAAGTAGTGGTTCTCTAGTCCAGACCTCTCCCTCTAACTGTGCTGGGAGGATTTTCAATTCAGGATGTTATACGCCTGATAAAAAGTATCTATAGCTGACCTACTATGTGCCCAAGCACTCAGGACAGTAACGTACATGTGCTGGTTACCACTTCCTCCTCCCGAGGGTCCTGATGAAACTCTTCAGCTGGGGGCCACCTGAGGTCAAATCTGTTCTTTCATAAACTTGGTCTTGTTTCTTACTATGTGCCTGAATTGTGGTATCCCTGGCTGCATCATCTCCTGGTCCAGCCACACTGGACTTGTGTGTTTTATCTGATATTTCATGACTTTGAGTTCAGGGTCTTTTGACAGGACTACCCAGATTTTATCAATGTTATTCTTTCATTTTTGTGTTTGTCTCTCTTTTTGATAAAAAAGAACTTTTCTGAATATAAAATTAATATATAATAATATATAATATCTTACAGTTGTAGAAAGTTTTGAAAATATGGGAACATATAAAGAAGAAACTAGATATCACTCATAACTCCTCCACCTAGAAGTATCTGCTAAAATTTTTTTTTTTTGAGGAAGATTGGCCCTGCGCTAATGTCTGTTGCCAATCTTCCTCTTTTTTTTCTTTTTTGTCCCCAAAGTCCCAATACACAGTTGTATATCATAGTAGTTGAGGTTTAGCTCTTCTGTGTGGAATGCTGCCTCAGCCTGGCTTGGTGAGCGGTGAGTACGTCTGCGTCCAGGTTCTGAACCGGCAAACCCTGTGCCACAGAAGCAGAAAGTGCGAACTTAACCACTACACCACCAGGCCGGCCCTCCTATAAATTTTTGATATCTTTTCTTCTAATAATATTTTCATGTCTTACATATAATGTAAAAACTAATTTTAGGGCCGGCCTGGTGGCTTAGCGGTTAAGCGCGCACGCTCCGCTGCTGGCGGCCGGGGTTCGGATCCCGGGCGCGCACCGACGCACTGCTTCTCCGGCCATGCTGAGGCCGCGTCCCACGTACAGCAACTAGAAGGATGTGCAGCTATGACATACAGCTATCTACTGGGGCTTTGGGGGGAAAAATAAATAAATAAAATCTTAAAAAAAAAAAAACTAATTTTATATTATGTGTTTGTTCCTATAGGCATTTCCTAGCTGCCAATAAAAACTCATTGAAAAAAGCCATTATTTCATGGATTAAAATTTACTTTAGCATTCCTGTCCTGTTGGATATTTAGGCTGGCTGCTCATATTTTGATGCCACAAAAACATTATGCTCACCCTTATGTGCATAAATCTTTAACCATGTCTCTAGTAATTTTCTTAGGATTGGTTTTTAGAAGTGAAATTATTAGGCTGGACTGCAGGAGCATTTTAAACTTCTCGATACAGATTTCAAAATTGGTTTCCAGTGTATAAGAGTGTGAGTTTCTTAACACTCTCACTTGGGATAGTCTGTTTAAAAAATAAAAATAATGCTGCCCATTTCATAAGCCCTTCCCCGCCAAAAAAAGAACATCACGCTGTTTCAGTTTGCCTATTTTTGATTACTGGCTCTCTCTTTGACTCTGCTTCTCTTATTGTTCTCGATTGTTATTGTCCAAGTCTGCACCCTACTTAACTTTGAAGACTTGTGTTGTGATTGTAGGAATTTTATACATCTCAGAGGTTTAAGACAGAAAGTTTTTAAAAAAACTTTAAAATATCCTATTGGGCAGCATCTTACCAAAAATAAGTTCTCTCATTCACAAAAGGTCTTTCTTCTATGTTGTGTTCCGAATTCCTTTCTAAAAATTTTGAGTGGCAGAGGCACAGATAATCCCCTCCTTTTCAGGAGTTCTGCTTGACTTTGAAGCAGCTGTTTAACAGGTGGGTTACAGAACCACAGAAGGATTGCTTCTTCCAAACAACTCCTTTTGCTAAACCAAGGGTGCAATATTGGGAGCGAGGGAGGAAATTAAATAAATTATTCTACATCCTCATATCAGGATGGAATGTATTGTTAAATCACTTTTTTGACAAATATTTAATGATGTGAAGAAATGATTATGATCATTACAAAATAACGTACAATGCTGTCCCAATTTTATATACATATATGGGATATGTGCTAAAATATTAATAGAGGTTCTTCTGAGCGGTGGGATTATAAGTGATCTTTTTATTCATTTCCCTTTTTTCTTCCTTTTCTGCATTTGTTACTGTGCCCACGGGGGGAAAAAGTTGTAAAATTTCTCCACCAGCTGACTCGAAGCCTGACCCTTCCCGTGTTGGAGTCACTCACCATGGACCTCATGATCCACGCAAAGTGTGGATCTCCATGGCCAGGTGGGCCAGGAGTTAGCCCTGAAGGAGCAGCGATGGCAACTCTGGGGAAGCATCATCAGGAAAATTGACATCTCTGGGGCTTGGAGGGGGAGGTGAGAGAGGAGGGAGGCAGGGGGAGGAGGAGAGGGGCAGGAGAGAGGCAACTTCCTCCTTCCTCAGCCCCTCTTCTCTCTCCACCACCTCAACACTCCCCAGGCCAAGCAGGAGGCAAGACATGTGAGGTGACAGAGATATAGGAAAGGCTGAGTTTGTGGTTTTCTGAGACAGAAGAGACAGATTGTCCCCTTTCTGCATATGTTTGTATTTAAATATTCACGCTTTCAGACCAGAAACTTGGATTTGCTTCACTCTTCTCACAATAGTGAGAGAAACACTGGAAACACTCAAAACTGACCAGAAGAGAAGACCCCAATTGGGCTGCAGATATTCTACAAAGGAATGAAAACTAGCCTGTTATCAATGGAATACAGTAGTGTAAACTGTATGTATGCAGATGTTCTTGAGTGTAAATGCATCAGTAGGCAAAGGGGTTTATGTGAATTGACCTGGTGCCCTTATATTAGTTATTTTGAGCAGATCCACCTAAAGTTTCAACATTCATTCATTCGTTCAATCTTCACTCATTCATTCAACAAATACCTGGCTCAAATCCAGTTCCACCTTCACCAGGTATGTGGTCTTAAGCAAGTCACAGAAATTTTCAAAATTATGTCTCTATTATGTTGACAACCAGGGGTTTCCTGCAGGGCCACACAGTGTCCAGCACACAGCTGACACTCACAATGGGCAGCTGTTATTAATACTGCTGTTGTTGTGTACTCAGGACCCGGGTGTGCCACCCATTCGCTGAGTGCTCAGGGGACCCGGAGACCTTGATACCATCCAGGTGTGCGTCAGGTAAAATGAACTGTGCTTGAATCCATGTCTTCTCAGATGCTGGAGCCTCCACCTACATGTCTGAGTTTCAGTATCGCCCAAGCTTCTCATCAGACCTGAAACCCAAGACGGTGATAGGGGACCACGGGGATGAGCTCTTCTCAGACTTTGGGGCTCCGCTTTTCAAAGGTGATGGCCCTTTGGTGACTACAAACTTGGACTTATGAGATCTGGTTTCAACTTTTGGTTTGGTGGTCTTGGGAAAGCTCTTCCTTCTCTCCAGGTCTTAGTTTCTGGAATTCGCGATAACAAGCTTGAACTGCAAAAGTCCTCAACCTTTCTCTTGCTCTAAGATGCATGATGGAGAATGTGTATTCATGTCCCCTCATTCACGATCACTACAAGAATCCAGACCTGGGGGTCAATATGACAGGTGGTGGGTCACTAGCTGGGCTCTGCTCAAGGGCTTGAATGCCCCCACCCACTTCCCACTCACAAGAGCATATCAGAACTTGAGCTTGAATCAGGGCTAACCTGCATCTCTCTGTTTCCAACTATCTATCTATCCATCTAAAAGTCATATCTTATTAAATTTCAAATATTTAGGAATATATTAAAAAAAAAACCTTTCACACATGTTTTCAAAACCTTAACTATCAACAGTTACAGACTACTTGTACCCGCCTCAGGGCTATTTGTGACACACCAGTGCCTCTGGGCATTACTTGGTTAGATGACTCGTTAGGGCCATTGCAGCTCCGTTATTTTGCAGATTCTATGTGTATGTGGGTGGGTGAAGGGGATTGTAAAAAGACCCAAGGAAAGCAATCCTGGGAGGTTGGGTTGCTGTATTTGAAACTCTGGGTTGTGGCATTGTGACCCTGAAGGCAGCCTTCTCACAGATTGATGACAGCCCTTCACTGAGTTCTACATCAGTAACTCTCAAGCTTAAAGTGCACATAAATTACCCAGAATCTTCTTAAAATGTAGCTATTGACTCAGTAGATCTTGAGTAAGGGCTCAGATTATGAATTTCTAATAAGCTCTCAAGAGATGTTATTGCTGCAGGCCCATGAACCACACTTTGAATATCAAAGACTTTTGTCTTCTTCCCCACAGAGGGTGCCTCAGAAGAGGAGATCAAACTCAGCAAGATGGTGATGAAATTCTGGGCCAACTTTGCTCGCAATGGGTAAGTTTGATGGCAAAGATGGAGCAAGGTTGGGAAGGGGTAGAGCATATCTATTGGGAAGTGGTAGCTTATAATGTTTGATGGTAAAATTCCTGGCCCTGTGGCCTCTGACATAGGAGCTCTCTAACAATGGACAGGCTGCCAGGAGATGGTGATCTCCCTATCTCTAAGGAGCCTCTTGGTCCAGATGACACCAGGGGTTCCCTGAAACTTCAGAGGGTTGTGGGGACCACACAGTAGCTTTGGAGAATTTCTATTTGATTCTGTTCCCAGGAACCCCAATGGGGTGGGGCTGCCCCATTGGCCAGCATATGACCAGAAGGAAGGGTACCTGCAGATTGGCATCACCACCCAGGCAGCCCAGAAGCTGAAAGACAAGGAAGTGGCTTTCTGGACTGAACTCCTGGCCAAGGCGGCAGTGGAGGAGCAACACCAGACAGAACATGTTGAACTGTGAATGGGTGGCCCAGCCAGCCTCATGGTCCTCAGGGAGCCAGCACGGAGGTATTCTACAAAAGGTGTTTATGGGCCAAAGAGGCATCTTAATGCGGAATCTGGGGAATTGCCCAATGGGAGTGGGCAGAGGTTGGGGAGGGGGAATTTCTGTATCAATGGCCTCAATTTTGGGAATAAATATTCCTTTGGAGACCAAGTTAGTGTCTGTCTCATGGGCTGGAGATTATGCCATCCTCCTTAGAGAGAGAAGGATGAAGAGAGAGGGCACCATCAGCAGGCAGGTGCCTCTGACAGGGCTGGCTTGGCCTCTAGACAAGCAGAGTCCAGCAGGCTGGGCCCTGGAAGCTGCCAAGGGGGACTCTGGATCTGCTCCATGTCTAGGGGCCCACAACAATTTCCAACAACAGATTGTGGGGTGGCCAGAGTATGGTGACCATCCCCTCCGTATAGAGCTAAGTGTAGAGACAGAGGTGGTGCAGACTGATAATGTACCTGGAGAGGGGGAGAGAGGTAGGTGCCGTGGTGACCATGTGACACTGCTGTGTGGCCATTGCTGACCCCTCCACGGGTCTACAATTCTTTCTTCAACATACACAGTGTTCTCCCAGGCCCTCCCTGATGCCATCTCTTCCAACATCTCATCGGAGCCCCTTCTGTAGCCTGGACCACTTCAGGTCCGAGCAGTGACCACCTTGGGGTGAGTCCCTGAAGTGTTACCCTAAAACTGCCTGTTTCAGAATCTCTGGGGTGACTTCTGGCTTCTGCTGGATTGTAGAAAGCTCTAAGGAGTGTCACTCCCCCCCAATAGCAAGAAAAAGCTAGATTATCCTCAAAATCATGACTTTTCCTGCACCATTCAAAGAGCTGAGATTTCAGGTGAACAATTACACTGAAGTCTCAGGAAGACAGGCACTTTGGAGAAAGATGGGACGTGGATGCTGACTTACTGTCTGCCACAGGTGGAAGATGGGGTCACCATAGGTGTGAGTACCATTACTCTAAAATTGCCAATCAAGTGCTCAAGGCCAAGTGTGGGCTAATATGAGGGTATAAAGCCCTCGGGAGCCAGGGACCCGTGGGGGAATTTACACAGACTCTTCTCCACTGACCTCCATCAGGGGCTCCTGAGAAAGATCGGGAACAGGTAGAAAGACCAGAGAATGCCTGCCTCAGTGGTGCAGGCATAAAGTCCTTCTCAGACACTTCTCCCTTAAAGCACAAAATCCCTAAACCATTGAGAAAAGCAGCAATCCCACCTCCCTTGGGGTCCTGGGGAAGACCTGTTGAGGGTGAGGAAAGGAGGACAATTTAAAAACTCTCTCCCCGTGGGAGAGGTACAGGAGATCATCCTGGGTCCTGGTCCTTAGAGGTCTTTTACTGCTGGGGAGGGGCAGAATCACTGAGAAAGGCCCCTCTCCGTGACTAAGGGACACAGGGTCTGCCTAAGGCTGAGACTGGACCAGGACAAGAGAAATGACTCTTGGATGCCAGCACCCAGTTTTACAAAGTGGTGTTGCCTTTTTAACTCCTCCCAGCAATGTACACTCTGCATCTTTGCCAACACTTGATATAGTTAGACGTTTTTAGCCCTTTTGATGAGTATGTAATAGTACTCACTGCGGTTTTAGTTACATTACTGTGAGGGCTAATGATTGAGCACCCTTTGATGTTTATTAGCTATTTGGGTAGCTTCATTTGTAAAATGTCTGCTCAAGTCTTTTGCCCATTTTTAATTAGGTTTTTGTCTTTTTATTATTGAAGTGTGAGAATCCTTGTACATTCCAGATATGATTCCTTTGTCAGATATACATATTATGAATATTTTTCTCAATTGTGGCTTGTCTTCTTGCCTTCTTAATGGTGTATCTTGAGGCGCAGAAGTTTTTAATTTTCATGAGGTCCAATTTATCAATTTTTTTTCTTTTCTGATCAGTGCCTTTGTATTTTCTCTCAGAAACCTTTGCCTATCCTAACATCATGAAAATATTCTCCTATGTTTTTAGTTTAGTTTTAAGCTTTTTAGCTTAGTTTTCACTTTAAGTTTATGATCTGTCCTGAATTAATTTTTGTGTATGATGAAGTAGGGGTCAAGGTACCTTTATGGTAAGTGTCAATATTTGCTATGTAAGTCCTCCAACACATTTCAAGGTCCTTTCAGTTTCCATATAAGTTTTAGAATCAGCTTTTAAATTTATAACAACAACAAAGCCTGCTGGAGTTTTCATTTGGATTGAATTCACTCTATTGATCAATTTGAGGAGAATCAATATCTTAATAATATTGAATCCTCAAATCCATGAACATGGTTTATCTCTCCATTTATTTAGATCTTTAATTTCTCTTAGCAATGTTTTGTAGTTTTTAAGTCACAGGTCTTCAAATCTCCTGTTAAATGTATCCCTTAGTATTTGATGCTTTTGACAATTATAATTAGCATTTAAATATTTTATTTTCTCATTTTTTTATTGGTAGAAACAACTTGATTTTTTCATATTGAAAATAAATATGTTTCCACAAACTGAGTAACAGACTGATTGTTCTGTATCTCTGGTAACAAGTAGCCTCCAGAATTGGTTTTAAACTTGTTCAATTGACCCATGACAAAATGCTTCAGTGAACATACTTTTGCAAATCACTAAATCATTCTTAGCCCCTTACTTCTGAAAATTAGCTTACCAGGGACAAACTCACTTTAATAAACACACTTGTGAGCGCTCAGCAAACAACAACAGTGTCACCTGAGTAACCATGCTTCTACAGGTGATGTCAACCCACATATGTTATCTGCAATTCCACCAATCCCTGAGCTCCACTGTCTAATTTCCCCTGCGATTTTTTCCTTTGACCCATGGGTACTTTGGAAGTATATTACTTAATTTTCAAATGTTTGCAAATTTTCTAATGGTCTTTTTGTCATTGATTTCTACATGGTGATCAGAGAATATATTCTGTATTATTTTAATACTTTGCAATTTATTAAAGCTTGTTTTAGGGCCAGCGTATGGTCTATGTTGGTAAATGTTCCATGTGTACTTGAAAAGAATGTATAATCTGTCGTTGTTAGTGTAGTGTTTTGTATATGTCAATTAGGTCAAATTGATTAGTACTGTTGTTCAAATACATATCTTTACTGATTTTTTCTACTTGTTCTATTAATTATAGACCAAACTGTAGTAAAACTTCTAACTATGATTGCAATATTTTCTATTTCTTCTTTTGTTCAATTTTTGCTTCATGTACTGTGAGGCCCTGAGAATCAGTATTGTTATTCTCATCACGGTATTTCTTTTTATCACTCAAAAATGATCCTGGTGGGAGTCAAGATGGCGGCATAGGCAGACTCTGAACTCACTTCCTCCCGTGGACACAGCCAATTTACAACTACTCGTGGAAAAATTACCCCTGAGACAGAACTGAA